CCAGCGGCTCTAAGAGGCCCCCGTTCCAGCTAAGCTTTTGCACGGGCACGATGGCGGGGTTTGCCGCAGGCAGCTGAAACTAGCACTAGCAATACATCAAATACCCGAGATGTACCCAACCCCTTCTGCACGCGAGGCGCAAATGTACACGGCACCCGGTATACACAATGACACACTAAAAACACATCACTCTGAAATGCGTCGCCGAACAATGTAGGGCCACGCGCGTCGCACACCTGCGCAGATCAGATCGCAAAAAGGGACGGCGACGACAAGCACGAACATGGCGACTGTTACACAGTTCGCAGCCCACCCACAGAGCAGCGCGGTCGCAAAAAAAAAATCTGTTCGACTAACCACTCCGCTGTACCTCTGAGGAGCCCACAGACGTGACGACACCTGTTGCGCAGATCGCAGCTCCCGAGAGAGTAGCGAGGTCTCGCCTGGATCCGTGTTGCCCTACACTCCGCCGTGCCTCCGAAGAGCCCACGAAAGAGTCGACAATTGCGCAGTCCGCAGCCCCTGAGGGAGCCGCGAGGTCTCGCATGGATGCCCGCTGCCCTCACCTCCGCCGTGCCTCCCAGGAGTTTGAGAACGACGACCGTTTAGCAGTTCGCAGCCCCCGAGGGAGTCGCGAGGTCTCAAAAGGATCCCCGCTGCCCTGCACCTCCGCCGTGCCTCCCAAGTGCCCACGAAAGTGGCGACAGTCGCAGCTCGTAGCTCCTGAGGGAGCCGCGAGGTCTCAAATGAATCCCCGCTGCCTTCACTTCCGCCATGCCTCCCAGGAGCCCACGGAAGTGGCAAAAGTCGCGCAGCTCGCAGCTCCGTGCCTCCCAGGAGCCACCGAAAGTAGCGACAGTTTTGAAGTTTGCAGCCCCCCAGTAGGAAACGAGGAAGGGAAGCAAGGAGACAGGAGGCAGGAGGAGGAGCAGGAGGAGGAGGAGGAGAAGGAGGAGGAGGAGCAGGAGGAGGAGGAGGGGAAGGAGGAGAGGAGAAGTGAAGAAGTGCTCTATTCAAAAAGAGGAACCAACATAGGAGGGTTTGGGGAAAATAGCTCAAGCTCGAGCATTCCTCCCTCCCTCCAGTTACAACCCGCCCCCGCTGTGCTAGCTCTAGCTCGAGTTCCACACAAGCTCCAGCACGAGCTCCTGCTCACTCTGTCCCGACAATCCTCTCCCCCTTGCCCACTTCCTGACGCTTCTTATCCTCCTTTCCCTGTTCCTCCTACCTCCCCAAGCCTCTACTGACTGGAGTACGTCGACTCGTCCGCACCCAAAACTTCCAACCCTTTCCCTGGGGCAGTTTTTTCGTCCCCGGTCGTTGTTCTGCCTCGGGACACCGAAAATTCCAACAAACAAAAAACAAAACTAACTCCGAGGTCTGAGATCCCAGGCTCTCGGCCCGGGACGTACCTCGTAGTGCTCTGTCGGCGATATAGCTAGCGAGGAACCTTGGTGCAGGATGCAGCTGGTTGGCCGACCGACCGAAATGGAAACTGTGGTGATCTGAGCCCGGCTCGAGGTCTGACAGGTCGCTTCACGCGCAAAAGTGTGCCTCAACCCGCCCGAGATGCGAACCCCACCCCACCCCTGCCCCCCACGATTTCTGAGGGGGAGGGTGGGGGTTCGCATGTGGCCCCCTATCCGAGGCCTCCCCCCCTCCCTCCCGCCGGGAAGCTGGAAACACACGCACACACACACACACACGTAGCCATTTTGGCTCAAGCCTGCCTTGTGCAGGAGGTGCGCGGCGTGGTCTCTCCCTGTAGAGTCCCGTCGCCTCGGCGGGCACAGAGAGCGGCTCTGTCTCTTTCCCCTCCTTGTCGCGGCCCCTGCAGCCTGCGATGGCGGCGGTGCCCGACGACGGCAAGGCAATGGATCTACGGTCCAACGGTGGCGCGGGGCTGGTCATGGCGATGGCCGTCCAGGGCGCTGCTCAGGGAGCTGCGGCGGGCGGCGCCTCGCGGCAGGCGATAGCCGCCGCGGTCGCTGACGCGCTCCGCACGACATGGGCGCTGCTTGAGGGGATCGGCTCCGAGGAGGACGCCGAGCTCGCGATGCGCTGGCAGGCCATGGAGCCCGCCATGCGCCAGCAGCTGCGGGGCGCCCAGCCAGGCGGCGCCGCTCGCGCCAGGCGCAACCTCGGGGCGCACGTCGACCTCGGCAAGGGCGTCGAGGCCTTGCGGCAGGCCCTGGCGCAGCCGCAGCGGGCCCAGCGCGGCGGGCGCTGCGGGCCCCGCGTGCCGGCGCCGCCGGGCCCGGAGGCGGCGGAAGAAACGACGGAGGACCACGCCGACGGCGTCAAGCTGGAGGGCACCACCAGCCTGGACATCGGGGAGCCCGACGTGGACGAGTGCGAGGGCACCGACCAGGTCATCGACACCCCCGAGGGCCAGCTGCTGGGCGAGGTCCCGCCCTCCCCACAGCTCAGCGCGGCGGTTGGCGAGGACTCGGAGCTGGACGTGGACGAGTGCGAGGGCACCGACCAGGTCGTGAACAGTGCCGAGGTGCAGCCTGTTCCTGAGGCGCCGCGGGACGTCGAGCCTGGGGGCCACGGCGGGGGCGGCCCCGAGGAGCAGCTGATGGAGACGGAGGTGCCGAGGGCGGCAGCAGGCGTGGTTGAGGACGAGGGCCTCTACGACGGCCAGGCCGACGGCACCCAGGTCAAGAGGCAGCGGGACCGCCAAGGAGTACAGCATCGGCACGCTCCTGATGCTGGAGTTCTCGTTCGTGGGGCTCTTCATGTTCCTCGCCCTGCGGGGGCGGATCTGCGCTCAGGCCTGCCCGTCGACGGCGTCGATGGCATCGGCACGGAGTACGGCGGCACCTTGGAGGGCAAGGTGGGCGAGTGCATCTTCGGCGACGCCGTTCAGGCTCGCGTGCGGAGCGTCTTCCTTTTCGTCCTCAGGGTGGCCTTGCTGCTGGGCGTTGCCTCCTGCCCGTTCGTCTTCTTCGACTGGGGCACGGGCCTCGCGTGCGCCCCGCACGTACTCGACATAGAGCCTATGCCCGACCCGTACCACGCGGCCCGCCAGGCCTTCCCGAGACAAGGTGAAGGCGAGCTCCTGGACCTGCCACTGTGGACATTTGACAAGGAGCAGTGGCTTGAGTCCCTGGTGAAGCTGCGGAGCGAGCTGGAGCACGAGCTGGCCATGGCTTTGCCTGGCGGGATAGCTCGTACCATCGAGGACGCCGAGGACGCCGAGGACATAGCGCTGTCCTTGCGGAGGCTCGCGGAGGACATTCGCGAGATCGAGGCGATGAGGCCTCACGGATTCGATTCTGGATAGCCCAGCGGTGGGCATCCTCACTCAGAGCAGCAAGAGTGCCAGCTGCGCGGATGGCCTCATGAGTGCTGGGCTGGCCGTTGCGCCTCTGCCTCGTCGTCGGGGTGCGGGTTCCGCCTCTGAGAGTGGCCCCAGCGGTAGAGACAATTCCCCCCTTGGCGCGGTGTCCGCCGTGGCTGGAGGGCCTGAGGGGGCCCTCGGGGTGCCTGGGCCCGCATTCACCGTTGGCGGGGCCTGGGCACGGCGCGTGGTCTCGCTTTTCAGCCCCCCTTGGCACCAGGCTGAGGGGCCTAGGGTGGGGCGCGGCCTCGAGGGGGCCCTGGCGCTCTGCACCCTGGGGAGTTCGGCGGGGGCGCTGCCCGCGGCTCGGCTCCTGCACAGGCTCGGCGGGCGATGGACCTTCGCCCGAGAGCCCAGCGCACGGGCCTGGCGAGGTGTAGACGCCCCAGGCTGCCGATGCACCAAAGCACCAAAACACACACACACACACACACACACACACACGCACACACACGCACACACATATGCCCAGACCCACGTGTGGAGCGCGTGCGTGCGGAGAGCCCGGCCGCCAGGGCCGCGCGCCGGAGAGACACCGGGCCACGTGCCACGTGCCACAAGTCGACCCGCACAAGGAGGACGCGCGGCGAGGATGCAGGGGGGGCCTGGCACTCTGCGAGCGGGGCGCGGCCAGCGAGAGTGGTCAAGGACGGACCGAGTAGCCAGGGATTGAGCCGGGACCGACCGCCCCGGCATTCCGGGAGGCCTACCACGAGCAGTTCCAGAACCCCAAACATGTTCTGAGAACGAAGACAATGCTCTCAGAACATCAGCCCGATGTGGTAAAACAAGACAATCTCGGCCAGAAACGTTCTATGAACATGTCGTGCAGATCACGAAAAGGTTCTTAGAACATTCGTGGGTGGGCCTGAGCGAGCCAGGACGCTTCGCCACTGCTCGAGGTACGGCAGGTTCGTGTCGTGTCGACCCAGGCGTTGGTTCCTGACACCGCGGGGATCGTTCAATCTTGAACGATCGGCCGCTTCCGCAACGTTGGATCGTTCAGCATCGACCGACTCTGGGCCGACGCCAGCGTTCAACGTTGCATGCCGGCGGCGGGGTCGCCGCCGGTCGACACGACACGAACCAGCCGTACCCTGCTCTCGTCCAGGCTGGCCGCGTCACGCGCATCCAGCCTCCCGGCAGCCGCCACGAGCGCCCAAGGGGGTAGACGGTTCCCCCCGGGGCCGTAGGCGACCCGAGGAGGGGAGGGCAGAGAGGTGGAGGAGGAAGAGGAGGAGGAGGAGGAGGAGGAGGAGGAGGAGGAGGAGGAGGAGGAGGAGGAGGAGGGGGAGGAGGAGGAGAAGGAGGAGGACGAGGAGGAGGAGGAGGAGGAGAAAAAGGAGGAGGAGGAGGAGGAGGACGAGGGGAGGAGGACGAGGAGAGGACGAGGAGGAGGGGGTGAGGAGGAGGAGGAGGAGGAGGAGGAGGAGGAGGAGGAGGAGGAGGAGGAGGAGGAGGAGGAGGAGGAGGAAGGGGTGGAGGAGGAGGAGGAGGAGGGGAGGAGGAGGAGGAGGAGGAGGAGGAGGAGGAGGAGGAGGAGGAGGAGGGGGGGAAGGAGGCGGAGGAGGAGGAGGAGAGAGGAGGAGGACGGGTCGCCTAAGCCCTTGGGAGAAACCCTCCACAAGGGGGTGCGCGGAAGGAGCGAGAGGGCCTCCGTGTGCCCCTTGCTGGCGGCGCGGTGCAGCGGTGTCCAGCTCTCCTCGTCCTGGCGGGCGCCGAAGGCGCGGCGCAGGGGCGCCGGGAGGCCGAAGGGCGAGGGCTGCTCTTTTTTGTTTTCCTCCTCCTCCTCCTCCTCCTCCACCCTCCTCCTCCTCCTGCTCCTGCTCCTGCTCCTCCTGCTCCTGCTCCTGCTCCTGCTCCTGCTCCTGCTCCTCCTCTTCCTCCTGCTCCTGCTACTGCTCCTCCTCCTCCTCCTCCTCCTCCTCCTCCTCCTCCTCCTCCTCCTCTTCCTCCTCCTCCCCCTGTCCAGGAAGAGGGGGAGTCAGGGACCGACGGTAGGCACGGGGCAAGTGCGTTGACGAGGAGGGGGCCAGGGAGCGTGCCGAAAGAAGAAGCCGGGGGGCAGGAAGTCTGGGAGATTTCAGGCGCAGTTTTCCTTGCGTGTGCCTAGCTTCGTCCATGCACCGCGCAGTATACCAGTACCAGTACCAGTACCAGTACCAGTACCAGTACCAGTACCAGTACCAGTACCAGTACCAGTACCAGTACCAGTACCAGTACCAGTACCAGTACCAGTACCAGTACCAGTACCAGCACCAGTACCAGTACCAGTACCAGTACCAGTACCAGTACCAGTACCAATACCATGCCTGGTATCCACCCGCTTCTGGTCCTTACCCTCCTCGTGGACGCCCGCATGAACTAGCGCACGACGAGCGGTAAAAGAGAAGAGTGTCTTCCCAGAGCGAGGTTTAAGCTCATACCCCCCAGTACCGCCTTGGTGAGGGCATGGGACTTCCAGCCGCCCCAGGACATCTGTTGTACCCGTCCTTCGTCCGCGGGGGGGGGGGGGGCGGCAAGGTTAGGCAGCCACCGTCATCGTGCCGCAGGCACCGAAAAGGAGCGTCGTCAGGGCCTCAACCGTCTCCAATGGTGGGCATTGAACACTCAATCTTGAATCCGGTGGGCCTCTTCACGGCCCAGATCCCAGATCCCACCAGCCCTCTGGGCCCTCCTGCCCCGCCCCCAGCCCCCCGCAGCGCCACGGGCCCCGCTCTGTGGGGGGAAGGGGGGGGGGGCCGAAGGACACGCTCCCCGCGCCCCTGGAGGTCCGAGGCGACGAGGGTAGGGGCTCCTGGGCGCGACTTCGCTCTCCTGACATGAGCAAGGCGGCGACAACACCGCCACCACCGCGGAGAGAGATGGTCCTCCTGGTGGTGTGGTCCCCCCAAACTGCCGCCCGAGACATGCCCCCTGTCCCCTATCCCCTGCTTGGGCAGGCACCGTGGTCCCCCTCGCTGGAGATGACCCCAGGATCACCGCCCCCCCCCCCCGCCCCTCGAACGGCCCGGAAGAGCCACAGGCGCCACTTGCCCGAGCCGCCGGGAGCGCCCCCCGCGCGCGCGGGGCTCGCCGCCGCCGCAGGAGACGGGCTGGTCGCGGGCGCCCGCGCACGCACGGCGTCACGGCCGTCCCCTGTGAGAGCCGATGCGGGGGGAGGAGGAGGAGGAGGAGGAGGAGGAGGAGGAGGAGGAGGAGGAGGAGGAGGAGGAGGAGGAGGAGGGAGGAGGAGGAGGGAGGAGGAGGAAGAGGAGGAGGAGGAGGAGGAGGGGGAGGAAGAGGGGGGGTGGCCGCCGAGCGCTGGCGGCGCTCCTGGCTCTCGAGCAGCCGCTGCGCGGTCTCCGCGTCCGCCTGCTTCTCCTCGCCAGTGCCCCGGAGGGGGGCGTGCGGGGAGGCTTAAGCCCGGGGCAGCCCTCTCGCCCGGCCTGCTCGGGAGGCGGGGCCCCGCGCGCTCTCCCGAGCAGGGAGCGGAGGGGGCGAGGATGGGAGGCGGAGGGCACAGTCGGGGCCCTGAAGAAGGAACCCTTTTGGTTGGGGAGGGGCTCCGCGTTCCTCAAGTGTTTCACAGCTTGCCTCAGGTTTTCCTTATGTTTTCGATAGGAAATCGAAGTTGAACTTATGGAAAAAAGGGGCCTCGTTCCTTCTTTAGGGTTCCTTAGGTCAACGCCCCGACTTTATGCGTGGAGGGGGTACCGAGGAGGGGTGGGCGAGGGGGGGGGAGGGATGAGGGTTTTGTGCACCGCCGCGGGCGCTGACAGTAGCTGCAGAGGGGCTCTGCGCCCGCTGCTCACTCTCGTGAGTGTGGACTCCGAGTTCCTCGAGCACCAAGCTCTCAGGGACCACCTCCCGTCCGCCCTGTCCGCGGTTGGAGGCCACGCTCGAAACGGTTTCGCCGTTCCTTGCCCATCTTGTCCAAGACAAAACCAGGGCGCTGTCCTGGGCATCTCTGCGCGAGACCACGCGGCTGCAGCTGAGCGTGCTGCGCACAGCGCGCGCAGTACATCAGGAAATCGCCCTGCTCGGGTTGGGCCCCCTTGGGCCCAATCACCGCTCACCACAGGACGTGAGAGCCTGCAAACTCCCGCAGGCCATACCGACTCTTGAGCGCTGTGCGCCCACTCTCTGAAGCCACTCCCGCCTGCCAGTTTCGGAAACCGTGCAGGCACTAGGACGCACCGCAGTCGCTCATCAGCAACAGCGCGCACGTCATGCTGCAGAAAGCGCGGGCACGACGCCATCGGCAGAGACGCGCGTGGGTGCAGACGAGCCCCCTCTGCCTTCGGAGCAGGCCCGCACGCCAGCACCCGCCCCAGATTCATCAGTCCGCGCCACGCTTCGGCGCAGGCATCCTCAAGGCTCGCTTCATCCTGGGCCCTACGCTTGACGGGGCCACAAGTTGAGCCCCTTCTTAATCGCTTCGCAGGCTCACTAGTTGAGGACGACCGGCCAGTCAATGTCACTATGAGGGGCGGCTGGGACGTCCTCATAGGTTTTCACCTGGATTCGCGCCCTGTAGACGCAGCCACCGCGCCGTAGTCGGCGCCAGTGTCCAGCTTCGGCCCGCGCAGGGCTAGCGGCTAGAAGCACGCGCGCATCCACGCGCGTGGACGGCGAACACCGCAGCATTGTCGCCTATGTGCGCTGAGCTGCCGTCCGAGGGGCCGGCACCTCTGCTGCAGGCCATGGAGCTCGCCAGCGTGAGCGTTGGGAGAGAGCTGGGGGGGCGAGAGAGCCTAGGAAATTGCGGCACCTGCCGTTCCCCCCCCCCGCTGGGCCACCGACCAGCCCCCCCGGAACTCCTCAAAAGGGCCGGTAGAGGCCGAGCTGACTCCCGCAAGGGGCTGGTCAGGTGCGAACGCGAAGTGTTGCGGATCAACTTCTGGTTTAGGGCGGGCGTGTCCTCCTAGAGGCGGATTTTGGGAAAGGAAATTAGAAACAACCGAAACGATTCCAAAGAGCACGAAACACCATCACCAGACTATATGTCTACTATTCTTGAAAATTCCTCCTGTAGAGGGACATGCCCGACTGAATCTTGGTCTCCAACGACGGCTCGCACGACCATCGCCACAGGCGCAACGGGGAGGGGTGGGCCTCGCAAGCACGGGGCCTGCTGGCAGAAGGGACCATGGGTGGTCTATGAGGAGGAGGAGGAGGAGGAGGAGGAGGAGGAGGAGGAGGAGGAGGAGAGATGTGGATCCTGGCGCCCATGAAAAAAGCAACAGCATGGGAGGCATGGGCATGGGCGTGCAGATGGCGCACAACTTGCAGCTGCTCGTGTTGTCTTCGATCTCCCACTGTCGCTTGAGGACCTTGGGCGGAGGAGACGTCGCTTTGACACGCCCCTCCACGAAGACCGGATGACGTCCCAGTCGATGCGGCGGGTCGCCGGGCTCCCCGCGCTACCAGCACGGGCCGGCGCTCGAGTCATAGCATCAATCCACCGTCGTTTCGCCCGTGAAGCAGGTACCGCCCGCCACCGCCGAGATGGCCCACTTCTCCAAGGCGTTGAGTGATTGCTGATCAACGTGCTGGCGACCACCTTCCACCATGTGTGGTAGCTCATCTCCACTTGGTTTCACGCGCCGTCGTGCACTGTCAGAGGCCTTCTCACGGACCCGATCCAGCACATCTTGTCTAAAATGACACTCCGTGCACTTCGGGCTGTGCTCAATACACGCAATCCTGCCGAACCTCGAGAACAGGAGCGCGGTGGCATTCTCCACGGACCGTCCCGCCACTTCCGTTGGCTGAGGGGCGGCGCCGACTGGGACCCACCTCAGACGCTCCTTCCAAGTCGTCGTTCGGGGGCTTGATCGACCACACGTCGCAGGGTTGTCACAAGCAGTAGGGCGACGAA